CAACCAGCACTCTTTGGAAGGCAGTCGCCACGCACAGCCTGCTTAGGGTGTGAGGGGCTGCGCTCACCTCCTTGAGAGCAGAGTGTCTGTTATTCGGAATTCCTCTGCGTGAGAGATCGGTCTCCTCTCCCCCGTGTATGTATGATTCAGCCACGCATCTGCATCGGGGTGGACTCGCACATGTTTACCTTGCACCTTAGGTTCTAACTCAGCACTACCTCGTTTATTGCTTTGCTCAGATTGTTCCAGATTTGGCCATTGGGAGTCCTTTCACTTGGCTCCTATGTCCCTCTGACATATTCCCATCACTGGGGATTTTATTTGGGGGCACTTTGGTACTTTCTGGCCCTAAAAGATGCTCCAGGGTCATCTTTTATGTTTCCTGCCGCAGTCCTAGAATCAGCCGTTTCTCCAAGGAGCACTTCATTTTGTTGAAGAAGATCTTCCAATGAAGATCTTAGAAACCAAGGCCTGGATACTAAGTGTGCTCACTTCTTCTGGGGTGTCATTGCTTCCAAGCCCTCTCAGCTAACAGAGCATGGAAATACATGTGTGTACTAACCTGTGTACTTACAGGTCTCTGTAAATATTTCTGTATACATATATCCATCTGTATTTATGTTAAGCAAAACGCGGGTTCATACTGATGTATCCAGCTCTAATCTATCACGGCATAGGTCGTTCTAGCCTCTTCCCCTTGCTTGTCTATAACTTCCCGCTCCAGTAGTAAGAAACCTGGCTGCTACCACCTGTCATCCATTTTCTTATTTGTTCAATTCCGGACACATATATGGAGGTTTCAGAATTGTTCACCTGTAACTTCATTGGAAACAACTTCCTCAACTAGAGGACGGTGCTAACTGCAGGTCCTTCTGCCTTTAGTCTTGAGTAATCCATTCATTTTCAAAGTTGCTTAGGTCAGAACCTTCCCCCCATCTCCCTCTGTGAGGTGTTTCAAAACTTCATACAGTTAGATGCTCTTGTCAAAGTCTGCATTCCATCCTAGGCCCTAACCTATTAAATGTTTTTTAAATTTTAATACATTAGGGTTCACTCTTTCTGCTGTAAAATTCTTTAACTTTGGACAAAGGCATAGTCATTATCTACCAGAATATTTACTCTAAAAAATTCCCTGTCTCACTTTGTCAACCTCCCCCCACCCCAAACCACTAGTCTGCTTATTATCTCTATAGTTTATCTTTTCCAGAATGTCATATAATGGAATCATACAGTACATTGCCTCTTATGACTGGCTTCTTTTGCTTAGAAATATGCATGTATGGTTCTTCCATGTCTTTTTTTGGCTTGATAGCGCATTCATTTTTATCACTGAAGAGTATTTCATTGTATGGATACTCCGTAGGCATTTTTATATCCGTTAAACTGCTGAAGGACATCTTGGTTCTTTCCGTAGGCATTTTTATATCCGTTAAACTGCTGAAGGACATCTTGGTTCTCTCCAGTTTGGGGCACTTGTGAATAAAACTCCTGTAATCATTCATGTTCAGGTTTCAGTGTGGGCATAAGTTTTCAAATCAATTGGATAAATACCTAGGAGTAGAACTGCTGGATCATATGGTAAGACTGCTGTAAGAGCCTGCCAGACTGTCTTCCGAAGTACCTGTGCCATTTTCCATTCCTCCCAGCAGTGAACGAGAATTTCTTTTGCTCTGCATCCTCACCAGCAGTTACTACGGTTAATTTTTAGATTTTAGTCACTCCTATAGTACAAAGTGGTATGTCGTTGTTTTTTTTGTTTTGTTTTAATAGTATTTCTTCTTTTATACATATTTTTTTTGGCTGTGTCAGGTCTTAGTTGCAGTGCACGGGCTCTTTGTTGCAGTGTGTGGGCTTCTCTCTAGTTGCAGCACGTGGGATCTTAGTTCCCTGACCAGGGATCAAACCCGTGTCCCCTGCATTGCAAGACAGATTTTCAACCACTGGACACACAGGGAAGTCCCTCATTGTTGTTTTAATTTGTATTTCCCTAATGACAAATGGTGTTGAGCATATAGTCATGTGCTTATTTGCCGTCTTCGTATCATCTTTGGTAAAGTGTCTGTTCAGATCTTTTGCCCATTTTAAATTGAGTTGCTTGTTTTATATTGTAGAGTTTTAACAGTTCTTTGTATACTTTGGATACAAGTCCTTTATCAGATGTATGTTTTGCATATATCTTCTCCCTGGCAGTGGTTTGTCTTTTTATTCTCAAGAGTGCCTCTTACAGAGAAGAAGATTTAAATTTTAATAAAGTCAAACTTATCAATTTCTTTCCTTCACAGACCACACTTTAGTTTTGTATCTGAAAACTCACCAGTTTCATGTCACATAGATTTTCTCCTACTTTTTCCTGGAAGTTCTATCACAATCAGCATGTTGATAGCAATAGTGTCAGAGAGAGAACATCTCTGTCACCACAGGGTCCTTTGCATTGCCCTTTCATAGCCACACCCACTTCTCTTCCCCCGCCCTTCTTGCCTCCCGGCAACCGCTGATCTGTTCTCCATTTCTGTATCTCTGTCATTGCCAGAGTTTTATATAAATACAATCATATAGTATTAACATTTTGAGATTGGACTTTTCTTACTCACTATAATTTTCTGGAGATTCATTCAGGCTATTGCACGTATTAATAGTTGTGTTTTTTTTTTTAATTGCTAAGTAGTGTTTCATGGTATGGACGCACCACAATTTATTTAACCATTTACCCATTCAAGGACATGGAGGTTGTTTTCCATTTGGGGGTTATTATAAATAAAACAATGTGAACATTTCAGGTACAGGTTTTTTGTGTGTATAGATATAAGTTTTCATTTCTCCGGGATAAATGCCCAGGAGCGCCATTTACGACCTTTGTCCGCTTTCTAATTAGATCGTGTATTTTGGTTACTGTTGAGTTTTGAGAGTCTTTTATAGGTACGAGTTCTTTGTCAGATAGGTGGTGTTCAAATGTTTTCTCCCGAGCTGTAGCTTGTCTTTTCATTCTTTTCACATAGTAAACGTCCTTGGTTCTGATGAAGTCCAGGTTAGCGTTCTTTTCCTTTATGGATCGTGCTTTTGGCAACAAGCCTAAGAACTCTGCCTAGCCCTAGTTCCTCAAGATTTTCTCCTATGTTTTTTTCGAGAAGTTTTATAATTTTACATTTAAGTTCATGATCTATTTTGAGTTGACTTTGTATAAGGTGTGAGGGTTAGGTCAAGGTTCACTTTGTTTTGCCTACGGTCGTCCCCTTGCTGCAGCACTATTTCCTGTAAGGCCGTCCTTCCACTGAATTGCCTTTGCACCTTTGTCAGAAATCAGCTGGGTATATCTGTTTGGATCAATTGTGCAGATCAATTTCTATGTTCTCTTTTCAGTTACATTGATTTACATGCCTGTCAATCCCCTAATATCACACAGTCTTGATTACTGTAGCTTATATGGAATCTTGAAATCAAGTAGATTAATTTCTTCCACTTTATTTTTCTTTTTAAAATTGTTTTTACCTATTCTATTTTCTTTGCCTTTTCATATAAACTTAGAATAAGCTCGTCTATATCTAAAAGAAATCTTGCTGGGATTTTGGTAGGAATTTCATTAAACCTGTGTATTAGTTTTCTCTTGCTGCTGTGACAAGTCACCATAAACTTAGTGGCTTAAAGCAAAAGCAACATGAATTTATTCTCTAAAAGTTCTGGTGGACAGAGTCTGAAATCAGTGTCGTGAGGCTGAAGTCAAGATGTTGACAGGGCTGGTTTCTTTTGGCAGCTATAGAGGGAGCATTTGCTCCTTGCCTGTTTCAGCTTCTAGCGGCTGTGATGCCCTCCTCCCTCCTCAGAGCACATCATCCCACTTCTTGTTTCCATCATCATATATCCTACTTCCCCGCCTGTGTCGAGTATCACTCTGGTTATAAGGACACTTGTGATGACATTTAAGGCCCACAGAATAATCCAGGATAATCTCCCAATCTCAATATCCTCAGTTAAATCACATTTGCAAAATTCCCTTTTGTATATTAGGTAACATTCACAGGTCCAGGAATGAAGAACTAGATCTTTGAGGACTTCCTTCAGTCTACTACAATTTGTACATCAATTTGAGGAGGACTGACTTCTTTATTTTGTTGGATCTTCTACTTCATGAACATAGTATGTCTCTCCAATTATGAGCTCTTTTTTGATTTCTTTAGTTATCATTTTGTAGTTTTCAGCATACAAGTCCTACACATGTTTTTGTTATATTTACACTGAAGAACTTATTTTTAGCAATTAAAAATGGAATTTTATGTTTAATTTTGGTGCCCACATGTTCATTGCTAGTATAGAGAAATATAGCTGATTTTTGTATGTTGGTCTTATACACTGTGACCTTGCTGAACTTTCTTATTAGTTTATTAGCTTATTAGTATTATTAGGTTAGGAGTTTTTGAAGGTTCCTTGGGATTTGCTACATAGAGCATCATATTATCTATGAATAAAGACAGTTGTATTTTTTCTCCTTTGATCTGTGTGCCTTTCTTTTCATCTTCTTGCCATATTGCTCTCGCTAGAAGTTCCAGCACTGTGTTCTGTGTTTTCTGAGAGTTGAGAGAGAAGACATTCTTGCCTTGTTCTTGATCTTAGTGGCAACTTAAAAATCACATCAATCATCAAACATAATTTAGAAAATTCAAGAGGAGAAGGAAAATGTATTTATCCATATTTCACTCTTCCTCTTCCTCTTTCTTCCTTCCTGATGTTTCAAGAGTCCTCTTCTATTGTCTTACTTTTTAGAGAACCTCCTTTAGCTATTCTTTTAGAGTAATTCTGGTGCTGGAAAATTATCTTCATTTTCCTTCATCTGTGAATATCTTAATTTCCCCTTAGTACTTGAAGGATATTTTCACTTGATGTACAATTCTGGGCTAACAGTTTTTAATTAATCACTGCAAACGTGTTGTGCCACTTCTTTCTGGCCTCCATGGTCTCTGATGAGACATCTGCTGACATTTGAACTGCTCTCTTTTTTTACCCTGTAGATTTGGGTCCTCTGACATCGCGGATGAGAAGAAAGTACCCAGGGAGCAGCCTGTGGATGAGGAACTTCTTTCCGGGGGAGCCGCAGCCGCTGCCTGGAGCCTGACATCCTGCCCCTCAACAGTTTAGAGAAATGGGGCCTGCTCAGGGTCCACAAACACCTGGCCGGGAGGGGTCTGAGCCTCCTCTGAGCCCCCCAGCACCGGAGCTCCATTCTCAGGAAGCAACCCCAGCATCTGAGAGCATCCACCTCACTTCCTGAATCTTTGGAAAAGAATTTGCCAGGGGCTTCCAGAGACTTGGGCCAAAATCCTCACTTGTCCTCCCACTTGAACACGTTACCAGACCTACCTGGGCTTCGGAGTTTTACCTCTGAAACGAGAAGACGGGGGGAGCCAGCCTCTGGGGTGCCTCAACCCAGGTGCCCGTTGTCCCTGTATCTGGACCAACCCACAGGCCGGGCGGCCACCTCGGGGCCCCCAGCGGCCCCTCCCAGCCTGGTTCGCGGGGAGTCTCCCTCATCTCCACCTCCAGGTCGCCCCGTAAACCGCGAGCTCCTGTAGCCCCTGCTCAGAAGAGCGCTCTGAGCAGGGGCTGAGGCCTTTCACTGAGTCCTCCAGGCCTCGGCGGGCTTGCTGAGGGGGCGGGGTGTCTGCGACGGTGTGACCACGGCTCCCACAGCCTCGGGGACACGCCCAGGCTCGGGCCAGCGCACAGAGGCCATGCTTTCAGAGTGAGTTCAGCGGGCCTGACGGGACCCACGGCCCGGTCAGCTGTCAGCCACACGCAAGGTTATCTGTGGGCGGAAACCGTCACCGTCTATGTCTGCTGGGATTTTGGCAGCCACGGGAGGGACGGTGCATCCCTACAGGCCTGGCTGAGTCAGGTTCCCTCCGTGCCAACGGTGCCGCCATCTTTGGCCGCCAAGGAGAGACGTTTTGGCAGGGCCCAGCGGCGTTTTCCCCGGAGGACAGTGTTACCGGCTCGCGGAGGAGACAGAGCTAGAAGGTGGCAGAGCTAGAAGGGGGCTGGGATTCTGGAAGGACCTGGATGGTTCTGGGAAAATCTGGTAGCCATTTTTGAAAGGAAAAAAAAACCAAATCAAGGTGTGGGAGTGAGAGCGTGGGACTTCTTGGAAATGAGGAGAAAGAAAATAACATGTCCGTCTCCTCAGCCTTGACCTCCCACCCCCGCGGCCGGCTGGACGACTCTGCTGGACTTTCCTGATGCCAACTCGGATCCGAAGTGTCCAAAACTGAGGTCATCCTCCCTCACCCTGGCTCCTCTTCCCGTTCTGGCAGTAGAGCCACCCGTCAGACACCAGAGCGGGGCCTCGGGGGAAACCTCTGATCTTCCCTTCTTCACCGCCGTCTCTGGCCGTCTCCTGCTCTGAGTCAGGATTTCAAAGTCATTGCTCACAAAAGTGAACGTAACCAAAGTGACCACGAAAGAAAAGGGATCTGCAAAAGGAGAACGAAGCCAAACGTCGGCGTAAACCGGGGGGTTTCCCACTGCTTCATCCCACAGGCTCCGGCCCAGCCAGGACACCTGCCCCAGGCCTCGGGCTCGGAGCCCACCCAGCCCCCGTGGAGCCCACGTCCCGCACCTCCCCCTGGGCCCAGGCCCCTGACCCAACCTTTCCTGGATTTGCTGTCGCTGTTCCTAAGGCCCTCACCCCTCCTCCCACCTGCCCTATGAGACGTCCTTCCTTTGCCTTCTGAACTCACAGTAACCGTCAGAGCCCAGCTCAGCCGTGCAGCCTCTACCTGTGGGGCTTCCTGACCCGTCCCTGCCTTGGGGTTCTACTGCGCCCACAGCAAGGACAACGGACCATCGGCTCCCAGCTCGGGCCCCAGAGCCACACGACACCTGTAAGTGGGAGACACGCAATTCCGGCTGAGTTGCGTAACATTTCAGAGCCTTTGCTGTCCTTTCTGTAATGCGACTGATAACAGTACCTAACTTACGAGGGTGAGGGGAGGATTAAATAGGATATTGCCCTCAGTGTGCTTAGTACAATGTCTGACAATTAATTAATAATCAGTCAACAGTTCTTGTTGTCACTGCTGTCCTTCCTACTCTCTCATTTCCACTTTCCCGTTTGCTCGTTTGTTTTCATGCGGCCATCTTGTCGACCCCTACTAACTTGTAAGTTCTTGAAGGGCAAAGACAACGCTATCTCTGTATTATGTTCTGCCCCGTGGTGCGCATACACACGCACACACGCGTACACACACACACACACACACACACACACACACACACACACACACGATGTTGTTGGAGTCGTGCCGGGGGCTGAGTAGATGGTGGACGGACAAAATTCCTGTCTGTCTGTGTGCAGGGTGGGTGGAGGCCTGGGGCCCCCATCATCTGTAGTGATGGAACATGGGCCTCGAGTAAAGAGGCCAGTCTGCCAACCAGGAGAGGCAGCGAGGGAGCTTCCAACGAGCACAGTTATTTTATCCAATGTCACCCAAAGGTAGGCTAGGATAACATGCTCTGACTTTGGGGAATTTATAAAATAGGCAAAGAACAACTGATGAGGACATGACAACTTCTGGATTCAGGATTTCAGGCAGCGTGTGAGGAGAAGGTGAAGAAAGGAAAGAGGCAGAAAGGGTCCCAAACAGTAGCCCCTGGTGATGGCCGTGTAATGGTTTTATCTGATCCAGGAACAAAACAAAGACAACTCTTTTCCATGTCAGAGTTTTAATTCTAGCGCTATTTCTCCGTCAAACAAAACTGAACTCAAGGTAAAATTGAAGGAGAATCCAATAGAAAGCAATTGAGGACAGGCAAAGTGAACCAAAATAATGAAAGAGGCCTTTATCATATCATGCCTCAAAACAGAATGAAGAGACAGGCCCCAGCCCTCCACCCCTCACTGATTTCCAGGCCTGGGACTCCCCAGAGGCAGACTTCCTACCCGTTGTCCCATTGTTGCTTCAATCCAGCCCCAGGGCACTGATCTTATCTCTTCAGGTTTATTCATTTGTTTTCGTATCTCTAAAATGCACCTTTGTATAGAATCTGGGCATGGCTGAAAAATTACCCCATTCTCAGCAGTGTCTGCACTAATCATGGCCCCTCCCTCCTCCTCTCCCACCTGGGACCGTCAGCACACCCGAGCCCTTGTCATCAGGCAACATCCTTAGCACCACAGGGGGGTAAGAAATACAAAGGCACATTTGGGGTATAAAGACCAGTGCTGTTTGGGCTTTAACCAGACCAGCGGAAGAAAAGGAGCCTTCAAGGGAGAGGGCCTTCCACTAAAAGGGAAACAACCGCAAAACAAAAAAATCGGGAGCCTGGAATAATTAGTCACTCAATATTGTAACAGTCTGTTTCTTAGCTAAACTCTGTTTTGTTTTCAGTACTACATAGATAGGGGTTGGGGGGAGATGGAGGTGGGCGTGTTTGCATCCTGGCCTGTGCCATTTGTGCAAATTCCCAGGTAAACTGAGTCAGTTAACCAAAGAAATAAGGAAGAAATAGAAACGGTTGCCCCAGGGTAGGCCTGCCTTTACAGATGTCACATTTCAAAGTCACGTTTGCTGTCACTACAATGAGAACTCGGCCATGGCTGGGGCCACTGCCTCATCCACTGGGCAGAAACAGACATCGGAGGGAGAAATGTGCTGTAGCCACACCGGGGGAACGTGTGCCATTGCTGGTGCTTTAAATGATCTGAGAATGTGCCCCAGTGTTGAACGTTTCAAACGCTCTACTTATGTTAGACGGGCTTGAGACGTAGGGACGTCTGTGGGACTAAAATAAAACAGTCTTTCCCTTGTCCTGGAGAACAAAGCCCAGAAACTAAGGAGCCAGGTCTTGGTTATCAGAAGGCCTATTATCTGCTCTTTTTCTGACACTACTTTGGGGCTAGCTTTGGGCCCCTCTGTCCATCTTTCAGCCAGAGAGCAAGGGAACAGAGCCCAGCCTTACGATTCATCTAAGCGACACGTAACTGAGATGGCAAATCTGCAAAAAAACCAAAATTAGACCAACTCAAAGCAAGACTCTAGTCCCCTCCACACACAGGCAGCGCCTTGGAGAGGCGAATCGCGCTGCCCTTCAGATGTTCTGCCTCACCGCCCCCCACGCTGAGAAACAACTGGGTCGGAACTGGTCTCCGGTCGTTGCTGTGACCAGGAAGGGCTGCCTTTCCCTGGGTCTCAGGATATGTGCTTGGTAACTTTCCAGACATTTATTGCCACAGTTCAGCCCAGTGCTGCCAAGGTCGGAGCCAAAAAGGGCGTCTGAAAATGTGCAAAAGTGAGATCTCGCTTGGCCCAGGCCTAGCCTGAGGGAAGAGAACCAGACGTTCTCCTGCCAGAAGCCAGTCCCCAACTTCATGGAAACTGGGGATCATTGCTGATGTCCTTCTCACTCGGCCAAGGTTCAATGCAGCTGCAATCACTCTACCTCCAATTCAAGTATGTCCTTGGTCCTAAGATCTTGGAGGCATCTGGTTCTTCTTTCTTTCTTTTTTCTGGCCGGGCCACACAGTGTGTGGGATCTTAGTTCCCTGACCAGGGATCCAGCCCGTGCTTCCTGTAGTGGAAGCGTGGAATCTTCACCACTAGACCGCCAGGGACGTCCCCGGAGATGTCTGGTTCTTAATCATTAAATGCATATTAATAAAAACCAATGTGCTATACCGTATCATGATATATTTATCACAATAATCCAAGAATAGTATGCATTAATAGAAGGATATTGTATTAGCTATAATTACTAGTCTATTACTAATTAATGTTAATTATATTAACTATAGGTATAGCTAATTACACTAACTCTACTATAAGGTAAGAGTAATATGTTAATATAAGCATATTCTATAAATACTCGGTTCCTCTGCATTTGTGAAAATTGACACGAGCTGCAGTGGTAGATGCCGTGCTGCTCTAACCGACTGTTGGCTCCCCTGGCTGACAGCTCAGCTCCCAGCCCCCTTCCAGGAACTGCTCTTGGCCGAAGCCGGCTGCCTCACCGTTTCCTGCCCTTTTCCTGGGGACGGCCTGCATCCAAATAACTGGGTGATGTGCAGTGTGGAGGCTTGGCCCCGACCCCAACTTGGGCCCACTGCGTAAGACGTGGGGCTCCCGGTGGGGCAGGCTGGGACCATCTCCCTCGGCCCCATCCTGCCTTCTCTCCCTTCAGCTGTCACTCCTGAGAGCACTTCATGCGAATCTTCACCTCAGAGTCCGCTTCCCGGGGAGGTTAATCCGCAGTCTTTGGTCCCAGCAGGTGCCTGCCTGACCACGTGCTCAGTGGGCCCAGTGCTGCCTGCCCCCAGCCACTGGCAGTCGTGGTGGAGCGCTGATGGTGTCTGGGACAGGCTGCTGGTGGTGACTCTCCCGCTGGTGGTGACTGGATGTCACAGGCGTAGAAGGAAGGCTCAGTATATCAAGTGTCTGATAAACTTGGGAGACCTGAGCGTCCCCGTAGCCCATTGCCTAAAGAAGGGCCCATCTTCTTTATCCAGAGGGGTGGGATGGGGAGGGTGGGAGGGAGGGAGATGCAAGAGGGAAGAGATATGGGGACATATGTATACATATAGCTGATTAACTTTGTTATGAAGCAGAAACTGACACACCATTGTAAAGCAATTATACTCTAATAAAGATGTTAAAAAAAAAAAAAAAGGAGGGCCCTGTCACCAATGAAGACCTAAGGGACCTGTGGCCACTGAGTGCTGGGGAAATGGGGTGCCCAAATATCTGAGGGTGGCTACTTGGTTGAGTGCTGGGCGTCCTGAGTCAGGGCCATGCCAGCGGCAGTGGAGAGTGCCATGCCGGCGGAAAACGGATACACACTGGTGAGCTCCTAGACCCCAGCGGGGCCAGAGTGCCAGCACTGTGTCACCAAGTGACCACGAAGCCAGAAGTGCCCAGCACGGGCTGAGTTCCATCAGCTCCACCAAGCCGTCAGGGGTGAGCCCAGCAAGCCATCGTCACATGTGCAGTGGCCGTGGCCCTTCAGGGGTCAGGCCTGAGTGAGGCCAGAGGGCCCAGGTGAGCCGTGGGGCAGGTGGCCCCCCACGGCCAGCTGGTGAAGGAGGTCTGTGCTGAGGTTTGCTCAGAGGGTCAGCTCTGCTCGGGACCCCTGTGAGGCAGAAGCGGACACTGAGGCACAGCAGGCAGGCCCAGGGCTGGCGCTGAGGGTAGAGCCGGCAGGTCAGCACCGAGGCCAGAGGAGACGCTCCCTGAGAGCGTGAGAATCTAGGAGGAGGGCAGCTGTTGTCGCCTGCAGGGCTGCAGCTGTGCTGCCACCTTCTTCTGGAAAGTTCCCCCAGGACACGCGGCCCGCCAGGCTCAGGAGGGGCGGCTCTTCATGGATTTACTCAGTGACAATGTTCAACAGTTATCGTGTGTTTGCCGTCGATCAGGGGCTGGGCTTCGGTGACATCAAAGGCAAAGACCTAGGTCCCTTGTGCAAAAAGTAAGAATTTCAAGGCAGCAGCTGCAGAGCATGAAACCACACGGGCTGGACGGTCTGCCCCGAAGCAGGCCCCACCCAGCCTGTTCTCAGGACTGGAGCTTCTAGCCATGGAGACAATTAATGTGTCAATTACAGTGAATTATTTTATTGCAGCTGTGAGAAGTGTTATGTTGGAGAAACGCAGGCTGGTCCCTATGCAAACTTACAAGGGACTCAGACCCTCTGGGCCGGGGGGCCGTGTGTGCGGGCTTCCAGGGGCAGGGTTTGAAGGGACAGAGACTTCAGGGACTTGAGAGCCATGGCCCTCACTCCGACTTCTCACCACACCGTGAACTGCTCACCTGACCACTGGCCAGCAGCGGGTCTTATTCGAAACCATCTCCAAGTCAGAGAAAATGGGCCACAGACACATGGATTCCTCCAAATGCCACACCACACACTTCCTTCACAGAGAAATGGCTCCAGAAAAAAAAAAATCATTAAAAGAAAAAAATGTTGTTAAAATAAAGTGAATGGAAACATAAGAAGGTCCTTCACTGGCTTAAGAAAATAAACCAAAATCCAAGATATTCTGAGAAACACATTAGGGAATTAGAGGGGATCAAAAAGTCCACCACAGGGCCAGTTATATGTCGGGTTCAGAAACGGGTTTAATTCTGCACTGACAGCACGGAGGCCTCAGTTCCATCCCCCGCACTCCAGGTCTGAGAAAGTCATTTCAGCTTTCTGTTCTTTGCCTGAGTAATGAAAAAAAATGTTAATCTGTCATTTTGGATTGCGTGAGTATGATGAGGACGACTCTTTCAGGGGACTCTGAGCTAGATCTTCTGGAAACACAGGCACCACGTTTACTCAGGACGAGGTGACCTCAGGTCAGCGCCCACCACTCGGCCACACACACTGCGGAGAATTCAGACTCCACCCGACTGCGCGGTGACACAGACAGGTTTTCCCGAGACGCCAGACCTTCGCAGGTAGCCACGGCCCCCGCTGGGCAGGGCCTGCGCGACATCTTACCGCCTCCTTTGCCCACCCTTCAGTCAAGCCCACCTGCCCTCCACGACCACAGGGGCAGACGTCAGTTTTCCCATTTTGCAAAATGTATATAATTATTTAGTACACGAGAAATATAGTATTTCATATGCATAGTGAAAGGGGAGATTATCAAATGTACTGGGAAAACTACTGACCTAGCTGGAAAAATTCGAGTAAGCCTTACGAGCAATAAAAGAAATTTAGATAATTATATAATTTTCATGGAAAACCCTTTCTAAAAACACCACCAGACTCACAGACATAGAGAACAGACTTGTGGTTGCCAAGGTTGGGGGGTGGGGGATTGGGAGTTTGGGATGAGCAGATGAAAACCAGCATATATAGGATGGATAAACAACAAGGTCCTACTGTAGAGCACAGGAAACTGTATCAATTTCCTGTGATAAACCATCATGGAAAAGAATATGAAAAAGTATACGTATATGTATAACTGAGTCCCTTTGCTGTATAGCAGAAATTAACACAACACTGTAAATCAACTAGACTTCAATAAAATTAAAAAAGGAATAAAAATAACACCAAAGGCAGAGATTATAAAATAAATCATCAACAGATCTGACTACATACAATAAATTCCACAAAGCCCATAAACCCCATAAGCAAAGTTAAACGTCACTTCGCAAAGCAGGACAATATCTGTCACGTACACTCCAGATAAGGTACCAGCATCCTTTGTACATGAAGAGCTCGTGAGAGTCAGTACGTGAAAGGCAAATTCTCTGGCTACCACTTCCACTTCCTGAAATCCATCCTACGGAAGCAAGTCTAGAAGTGATCGTGGCAGTACTTGCCCGTTGAAGTCCCGTGGAGTTAGGCGGCCAGCGACTCCTCCCCACTTAGGAGAGAGGGACCCAGCCGAGGGTCACCGGGAGGGATGAT